AGTTGTTGTTCAGCATCTTAGCTGTAGAGGGCAGTGTCACTGGCCCTCATATGTGGGATCCGAACTGGGGCCCTCTGGCGTCCCAAGCCAGTTCTTATCCATTGCGCCACTCAGCCGGCCCTAAGCAAGCATTTTCATACATGAGTGTTTATAGAACTTAAAAAATAATATTGAGATGAGCGAATCATTGCACTCTAGATTTCTGATCCTTGCTGGTAAAGCATATTTGCTGAAATGAGCAAACAACTTTTTGGAAAATTTATAAATCAAGGCAGTAACATTTTGGTCCACAAACCTTCAACTGTTTCACATACCAGGTTTTAATAATTTACTTAAAATGCTCAATTCATGGCTTAGAAGATAATTTGGTAGGTTTTGTTGATCTTAATGAAGCTAGAACAAGACCAGGATGTCTGGTCTCATCAGTACTACTTAGTATCATACTGGAGTCTTAGCCAGGGCAATAAGGCAAGAAAAAGAAATATCGGGTTGTCGGAAAAGTCATGATGCATTTTTGCAACAGATGGCACTAGTTCATTTTTGGAAGTATTAGAGTCATTTGCTTCTATGTTATTGCTATGTCATTTGACAGCTGACAATTCTAGCTTCATTCTAAAAAAAAAATTGAGCGATTTGGTTGAGTTTGGGAGATTTTACAACAAGTTGAAGGTGGAAGACCAAACTGCATTTTCGCCATGTTTTACTGTTTTACTTCCATAAAGGGAAGAATGCATGTCAAGCTTGTGAAAAGTTGCATCAAGTTTATGGTGACAATGTTCTGCAAGAACGTCAGTGCCAACGATGGTTCACGAAATTTCATGCTTGTGATTTTGATCTCAACGATGCTCCTCAGTCAGGGAGGCCCACCGAGGTTGATGACGACAAAATAAAGGCATTGATTGAGTCAAACCCAAGTTACATGACACGAGAGATTGCAGAAACATTGAACATCCATCATTCAAGCATTCACGACCACCTGAAGATGCTGGTATATGCAAGCAAGCTCGATATTTGGGTTCCTCATGAACTCAAAGAAGTTCATTTGACGGTGCGTATAAACATCTGCAATATGATCCTTTTTTGAAGCGACTGATAACTGGTGATGGGAAGTGGATTGATTACAACAATGTGGTGCGCAAACGATCTTGGTCCTGACGTGATGATTCGCCTCAAACGACATCGAAAGCAGACATGCATCAGAGGAAGGTTATGCCCTCAGTGTGGTGGGATTTTAAAGGTGTCGTGTTTTTCGAGCTCCTACCAAGGAACCAAACAATCAATTCGAATGTGTACTGTCAACAGTTGGACAGTCTGAACGAATCCATCATCCAGAAATGTCCAGAGCTCGTTAATCATAAAGGAGTTGTGTTCCATCATGATAATGCGAGACCGCACACAAGTTTGATCACCTGTCAAATTAATGGAGCTTGGATGGGATGTGTTGCCACACCCACCATACTTGCCTGACCTTGTGCCATCAGACTTCCACTTATTTCGCTCTCTTCAAATCTCCTTGCGTGGTATAATGTTCAATTCAAATGAGGTTGTAAATCAGCACCTTGTTCAGTTTTTCACAAATAAGTACAGGTCCTTCTATGGACGAGGAATTATGAAGCTCACTGAAAGATGGCAAAAGGTTATTGAACAAAACGGGCAATATATCATTGATTGATCTTTGTTCTTAATAAATAAATGACCTTTGAAAAACAGAAAAAAATATGTCATGACTTTTCTGACAACACTATAATATGCATATAGTTTGGAAAAGAAGAAATAAGACTGTCCTTATTCACAGACAACAAAATTGATTACATAGAAAATCCCTTAAAATCTAGAAAAAATTTTACTTGAACTAAGTGGGTTTAGCAAGGTCTCTGGATACAAGGTCAGTGTGTACATTATTGTATTTCTATATACTAGCAGTGAACAACTAGAAGTCAAAATTTTGAAAAATCTAAAAAGAATTATAGTTAAAATATCTAAAATGGTATTGTTATTTCATAGAAGCTGAGAGGAGGTTTAACACCATGAATTTTATAGTCACTACTAAGAAAAATTCTTAACGAGAACAAGTTACTCAATGACTGTCAATTGAGTGGGGAAATCATTGGTGAGGTTCATGTCAGCTCATGGCTCAGCTAGGAGAACATTTTGCTAGATTCAGCTGTGTCCAACGAAAGACCACAACAGAATGTTAAAAAGCATCAGTAAATTATTTAGAAATTATTAATGTTTTGAACAATTTACACTATAATTTATATAACTTAAACAGTTTTATATATAGTTGGAAAACAAATAGGAATATTTATACGTGACCCTGATTTCTTTGTTAATATTTCCTTGCTGGTTGTTAAATAGTTTGAATGTACATTCTTCCCGCCCCCCCGCCTTTGTACAAAAATAGGGGCATATTATAAACTGTCCCTTTTCTGGCCTTGCTTTTTTTACTTCATTTAGCCTGGAGATCATTCCAAATCTTTATATAAAGGATTATTCATCCTCTTTTATGAGTATTAGTCCATAGTATAACATAAGTTATTAACCAGTCCCCTCCCGATGGATATCTACATTGTTTTCAGCTTTTTGGTATTTAGAAAAATGCTGGTATTAAAAGAAAAGGATCTAAAGCCTCTTTTTCCCTCAACAATTGTAATAAGGCATCATATATGATTTTAGTCCAATGGATAATATGCCATCTGAGAAGTTTGTACTATTACCCTCTTACAGTTTACTTTGCATTTTTCCATCGGTTTTTTTTCTTAGCCTTTTTCTCACTGCAATGTCAGGTTAACTTCTATAACAAAAATTTTAAACCGTACCCATGGTAAATGTTACCCTTTTCTCCCTGCAGTGTGAAGATTGCTCCTGGAGCAGTTGTGTGTGTAGAAAGTGAAATCAGAGGTGATGTAACGATAGGTAAGAAAATAGTTCATTAGTGTGGTTTCTCAAGAATTGATGTGATTTAATTTCGGTGCTTTATAATAATTAGGTATTTGTTTCACTGATATCCTAATTTTATTGACAAAACAATGTATTTTCTCCCATAAGTGTTAAATATTTCTGAAAGAATATAATGTGATGGAGTCTATATTTAAACTTCTATCTGATGAACTAATGAGGCAATATAATAAAGTAATTGGTTTGTTCGAGGAACATCTATTGTGTACCTGCTATGTGCCAGGCACTGTGCTAGCACTAGGGACACAGCACTGAGCAGAGCACAATAAGGTACTGCCTTTGTGGAGCTCGCATTCTACTGGTAATTGTTAAGGCTGTGGACCATGAAGTCTGACACACTTGGGTTAGCATCCTTGCTCTTTACCTGCTGGGTTACTTTGGACATATTCCTTAACCCCACTAACCTTCCTTTTCCCCATCTCTGTAAATGTGTGCTTCTGGAATAGGTTTAGCTGCATGTAGGGGTGGCTTAAACATGCCAAGGTTTATTCTCTTACATAAAAAGTCTAGAGGAAGGCAATTTAGGGATGGTCAGTTGATTATCCAGGAGTTCCAGCCTTGCAGGCAAAGATGTGATGGCTAGAGCACCAAGTGTGACCTTGGATAAGAAAGAAGAGTGGAGACAAAAAAAAAAAAAGGGGGGGGTACCTCCATGTTGAGTCAGCTCCCTTTAAATAGTCTTCCTGAAAGTTCTGCACAGCCCTTCTTTGTGTGTCTGTTGCCTTGGATTTAATCTTATGGACACATAGCGTCAGGGAAGGCTGGGAAATGTATAGTCTTAACTGCTGGGCGCATTGCTGCCCCTAATAAAATAGGATTCTGTTACAAGGAAAAGGGAAGAGTGGACATCCAGAGGCAATTAGCAAGTACTGTCACATGCAAAATAGGAGTGCCTACCTCCTAGGTTCTGAAGGATTAAATAAGAGAGTATTTGTGAAAGCGATTGCCTAAAACCTAACACATAATAAGCACACAATAAAAGGTAGCTAACTGTACTATTAAATCTTATCTGTGTAGCCTTGCTAAAGGTCAAGTCCAACATTTAAAACAAATGAATAATTCAGCATGTGACAACTTGCTTATTTGAACACAATTGAGTTCCCCAAAACTCACATTGAACCAGTTCTTTTACATATGTTTTCCCTGGACATGGTCCCCTTGTGGCTTTAATAATGTGAGCCTATCCTTATCAGCAGCTGCATGTTACTAGATTAGGGCTTTCAGTGAATTAAATACACTTTCAGAGAGAAAATATGCCTTGTTCCCTTATATTAACAGTATTTAATAGGAAAAAAATTATAAATTTTAGTAAGTCTAAGCTTTCAACCAATTTAGGCAACATGTCTTATAAAACCAGTGAGGATTGTTTCAGTATTATGGAACATCTTTAGCAATTTGCCAGGTTGGATTTATTTATTTTAAATTGACATCATTTCAGAGTTTAGTAGGTGACCCTGTTTCTTTTCAGTGCTGTGTTAGCTCTTTGTTAACTCTTCAACCACTTGCAAACTTTTTATGAGGAGAAATTATCATGGCCACGTGTTTATCAAAATACTAGTCTACATTATTTTTATTCTGGTGTTTTATGGTTTTCTTCATGATTTGAGGAATAACATCTAATATTAGCTCACAAGGTATTCTATATTTAGAAGGAAAGTAACACTAAAATAATGTAGCTAATTATATAAACTTTTCCTTTCATTTTTACTTCTCCATTTTAAACAATAAGTATATAATATCTACTATCTAATAGATATATAGATACTATAGATATTTCTACAGGTATAAATATATTAGGTTGTCGGAAAAGTCATGACACATTTTTGCAACGAAAAGCAGAAAAAAATACGTCATGACTTTTCCAACAACCCAGTACATATAGATATACCTATATGTGTTTGTGTGTGTATTTCAGATTTGAAATAACTCCTATTACTTGTAGAAGCTTTTCTGAATAGCAATAAAGGCTTTATCCTGTGGAAGACCTACCACGGGACCACTGCATAGGATTGGGGCGTGAGGGTGTTAGGAGTCAGCACTCTCTCCTGTTTCTCCCTCTGTCTTTCACTACTTTGTGCTCCTCCCCTTTCTTTATCCATTTTATCCTCCTCCTTTCCCTAAACATTGAAATTATTTACATCGATACAGCGATTCAATCTTTCCGTATAGCATTTGGTTGATAGGGTACAGTTCTGATGGTAAAAATATAAAATAAAACTTCCACACAGATTTTCAGTGATGGAGTATAACATAAGACGTAATCATTTTAAAAAATGGATCTAAGTTAATATTTGTTATGTTTATTTTTGACCCAGTTATTTAAACCAAGAAAAGTTGCTCAAATGCTTTACAGAAACATCTCAACTTTGAAAATTAAGGAAAAGATTCAGAGGTGATACAGTTACCCAGTGTTCTGTCTTCCACAGTTCTTATCTCATTTTTGTTATACGTGTTTATCTTTAATTTTATATATATAAATATGGAAATTTTCCAGAGTTAGTATTCAGATAGTCATTTCTATATTGTTATATTTGGTATAAAATAGCTTTCACCTTTTGGCTACTGTTAATTCATTTTTCTGATATATCAGATTAAAAAACCCCTGGGAGATATAATTATAAAGTTAAATCAAAGCACAGAGTAGCGATAAGTTATCTGATTAAAACTTGCTTTCCCAGCTTTTTCATTTTATGGCTTTTATTGTTTTTGTTTTTTATTAATTTAGCAAATAATTAATTTGAGTCTTTTTCTGTCATGCTATGAATATGGAAATTTAAACACTTAATAAGCTGTTTTCTGGGTTAAGTAGCAATGAACTTAAGTGTAGTTTAATTAACAGATTTTTCAGGATGTTATACATAACTTTTCATCCCCTAGTTGGTTATATATACTCTTACCAAATTATTCCATTCTGAAATACTTTGGGAAGAAAGTAAATTTTTCCTCTGCTATGTTTCCGTGTAGTAGAACTTTAAATTCAAACTTCTATTTTCCTAGAGAGTCAGGTATTTGGTTTAACAAAAGAAACTAGTCCAAAGCTTTGAAGTATTTTCCTTAACCAGAAACCATATGACTTGAGGTTCTGCTTGAGTCCCTTCATTAGAGGCTACTAAGAAACAGACCTTGGGAAAAATAACAGCTCTCTTGTTAATTATAATTTGGGTAAATAAGGTTTCATAGTATCAAGACTGTTTTTGATTAGGCTGCCTTGATTCATGGGCCATGCATTATTTCCTATAAATGTTGTTTTGAATGCCGAAAACATTTCAGAAAGGTACCTTTAAGCCCAGTCCTGTAATCCCATAATGGGGTGAAAGGCAGTCTGCTGGTGTCAGGACCTGGCTTTTTTAGGACATCATAACATGAAGGAAGGCAGAACTTGGCACAATGGAAGAGCTTTGTGGTGGAAGCACTTTGTCCCACTTATCCTGTCTCTCTTGCCATTAGAGTTTTTAATATAGATCAAAAGCTTCCTTTTTATTGTGGAAATCTTTTTCAATAAGGCAGAACAGTGGCTTTGACTTAAGAAACTCATGGACTATAAAGCAGTTCTTACAGGTACTTTAGCTTACAGGTCAAAGGAGTTGTTTTAATTTTCAAAAGAGAGCTTGTGGCTTTTTGAACTATTTATTGACATATAAAAATGTACACAAAGATTGCTTTCTGTGGCAAAGATAGAGAGGGAAAATGTCCTTTACCAAATGAGGGGAATGGAAACTTGATGCAAGGAATGTCTTTCTGGCTATGTTGCATCAAGCCCAGCCAACCATTTACAAAAATAATTCATCAGCCAGTAAGGCAGATCCAACTCTAGACACATTTATCCAAACAAGGAGATAAGCCAAATAGGGTTTCAGCACATTTGGTAAGAAAATATACAAACTGCCCTGCCAGAAAGAGCCCAAGAAGGTCCACAACGGCCTTCAAAAAAAATTTTTTTTTCCCATGGTGACAGATTTTTATTTTTAAAGCATTTTAACCTCAAGACCTTTAAACTTGGTTTGAATTCAGACCCATTCTAGGTGAAAGTGCTTCCTGCATGCAGAAAAGTGTGGAGCAAACTGTGCCCACATTTCAGCGTGCTGTCACTGCTTGGGTCTTGGAATAGTGCTCTGATGCTGGCCTCCAGCACAAAACCGTGCAGAGACAAGGCTGCACTATACGCATCACTCACCTGAGTGAGGTGGATGAACACTTTGGATTGGTGAACTTCTTAAAGGAGTTCTCATTTATTGAAGTACATGTATTCTAACCTCTCTAGTCTCTGCCTGACAAAAATACCTACAAGAGATTTAGGGGAACTATTCAGTTTATTGTCACCCATAACATTTGCTGTTACTTCACAGCTCAAAGTTGATAGCTTGACCTTTTGGTTATTTCAACCCTGAAACACCAGGACTTGTAGTTGGGCAGTACTGCCACCAGGTGGAGGTGGTGTCTTAAGCACTGGTCTCCTGAAAGTTAACGATTTACCTCCCAGGGCAAGGCCCTAAAATTTGTAACCAGGAGTTTCCTAGTTATTTACTAACTAACTTATTAATAATGATAAAAATAATAACAATAAGAAAACACCTGGTTAAAAGAGCTCAGGCATTATTTTTAAGTAATGTGTAAGAAGACATCTTATGAGACTTAATGAGATTAATGTTTTTAAATTTGAGTTTATCTGTTTGTTTGTTTTTCTTTAATTAACGTATCATTTTTGAAAGGGAAAAATGAAAATAGCAATTGTTTGCAAAGCTATACTTTAGAGCAACTTTTAAAGAAACATAGGACCTGGTGTTACCTTTGTCTTATTAGTCCATTCTCAGGTAGCTTGTTGCATATCTGTTTGTTAAAAGGTACAGCTTGAGGACCAGCAGAATACCTAATGCCTGTGGCTACTTATCTCGCAGTGGCAGAGGATCTGCTTTTTATCACAGCCATGATGATCTCTTTGTCCTGTATAAGATTTTTAATGCTCGTTTGGAAGATTCCTTTATTAATTTTTTTCCTATCTTTCAATAAGGGGCAGAGATTTTCCCCCTGGTTGAAAGGAGTTATTATCCTGATAATCTGAGTAGAGTCAAACAGACCCTTCTGTATCTCAGACCAGAAGAAGTTATTTTGCTTACTATGATGAAGTTATTTGTTAGCTCCTTGTGTCAGATAGTGATGAACCTCCATTTTCAAGAACTGTGGGCCAGAACCCATCATGATCTCCCTATCAAACATTATTTCCTAGAATCCACACTTCAACCCAGTGAGGTAGGTTGTTATAGATCTCATATTTCTATAGATGAGAAAACAAGCTTTTTGAGAGATTAAACACATAACCTTTAAGTGATAGAGGCCAGAGTCTAGACTTTCTAGACAAGGGGTGGGATGCTAGCTGGGGCTTTAATTACAAAGAACCTAAAATAGAAAGATCATGTTCCTTTATCATAGAACATTTTGAAGTAAAATGTCAATCTAGTGTTGTGCAAACTACAGATTTAAATTGGTGCACACAGCTGGAACACCTATAAGAAGTAACTTGCTTCAAAGGAATTCAGTGTTTGTTTCAGCATTGTTTAGCACCTCTCCCCGCAAAGTAGCAACATCTAAATGCTCATTATTAAAGGATTAAATAAATTATGGTATATTAATATGCTGTGAAATGCTATTCAGCCATATAAAGAATCTCTTAGATGTCCTTATATGGAAAAATGACCATGACATACATGTTAGGTGAACAAAGCAAATTACGGAATAATAAGTACTGTTCCTTTGTTTTAAAAAAAAGTATGTGCTTGCAATCCATATTTTTTCTTCTTCAAGATGAGTTTATTTTTTAACTTTCTAATGAGATACAGTTTATATACAGTAGTACTTAAGTCTGGAATAATGTACTTCAGACTATTAAGAATAGTTACCTCTAGGGAACGGGATTAGCATGAGAGGCTCTTTATATTTTTTGTTTTTTTTGAATTTTTTGTAATGAGTATGTATTCCTTTTATAAATGTGTGTGTGTGTTTTTTCCCCAAAGATTTTATTGGGGAATTGGGGGAGGGGAACAGCCCTGGGGAATTGGGGAAGGGGAACAGACAAGCCACCGTTCTCCCGTTCCCCAGTCCAGCCGTGGAGGATGTCGCCCCACTGGCCTATGCTGGCACCATCATTGCGCTCCTCCCAGGTGAGGCAGCCACTCGCAGGCCACTGGACGGCTGCTCACGGTGGCCCATGGCGGTCCACGGCAGCCCACGAAAGCCCATGCCAGCTGCCGGCCAGCCCCACTGCAGCCTACACTGTCACCGGTGACTCACGGCAGCCCATCTCCAGGTTGAGCTGTTGTTCACCATCTTAGCTGTAGAGGGCGCAGCGTCACTGGCCCTCATGTGGGATCTGAACCGGGGCCCTGCTACTCAGAGCTGGCGTCCCAAGCCAACTCCCAACCAATGCGCCACTCAGCCAGCCCAACGTGTGTGTGTCTTTAACAAAGAAAAAATGCACATGTGTTCACAGTCATGGTCAAGTTGAGAAGCTTCCCAAGGATCTGAGAAATCCTGACTTCTATCCTGAAATCTCCTATCCTGAATAGGAGAATTTGCCAGGGAAATTTTACGTTAGCAGCCGAAGATTTGGGGAGATAGAGGTGACAGAAATAACACAGCCTCTTTCATGTTATTTCTTACTAGAAGGTGCGTCCTTAGTGCATCCTGTTTTAGCTCTGCCCCCACCCTCCCCTAGTTGGTTATATATACTCTTACCAAATTATTCCATTCTGAAATACTTTGGGAAGAAAGTAAATTTTTCCTCTGCTATGTTTCCGTGTAGNCCACCCCCACCCCCAATCAGTCCTCAGCTCTTCATTGTTAGGAAAAATATAAGCTGCGCTGAGGTTCCTTCCAATTCTCTGGGCACCAAGAACATGTCCTTATTTATTTTAATACATTTGTGAGTGAGTGTGTGAAGTTCCCAGTTTTTAAGATAACAAGCTCAAAGGGCAAAAATAGCATGTATGTCTTCCCCCCCCCCAACATACAGCACTGCATCTTGCATATCACAAGCAGATAATGATTATTGAATACATTAACAATTTATGCAATTTAATTTCATGATCAATGCCATCTTCCTGTCTGCTGGTTTGCCAGTACAAATAGCCTTGGTATTGGGGGCAGGTAGAGCGGATATTGGAGGGAGAGGCTAAACTGAGGTTGTTTTCTCACCAGTGGTTTCATTATCACCAAAATGCTGGGGCTGTGGGTAAAGAGAAGCTCTGAGAGAGAATGTGTCACCATTCCAGAATCTGTGTTGGGGCAATGCAGTGCCTCTGTCACCCTGGTCACGAAGTGGATGTGATGAGATGCTTTTCCTGCTCCCTTCAATTTGAGATTGGAGGCATTGGCTTGGGTGTCCCTATAGCGGAGTCCCATGACTCCAGGAATCACATTTAACTCCTTCCATTGCCTCCCTTTAACTTATTCCTAATTTTAACTGTTAAAAATCACATCCTAGACCAGACAACAGAAGCTCTGCCTCCTCCCCATGGATAAGCTTTAATAGGGATAGTGACAAAGTAATAAAGCTAAAGTTAGTTTCCATGTTTTCTGACTCCTGTCCAGCCCATACTCCCTCTTAATCATTAAAAAAAAAAAAAAGCTAATCCTGTAGTATACTAGCATAAGAAAGTGTTAAGTGGTTCACTAGCATAAGAAAACACCAAGGTTGTAAGCAAAGAGAGCCTTGCCTTTATAAAGGAAAGGAAGGGAATTAATTTTTATTGCCAACTATGTGCCAGAATATTGGGTCTACAAACATTATCTCATCTAACCCTTACAACAACCCTGCAAGACTGGTATTATCACCATCTCCATTTCTCTCATATCTCCACTGCTGAGATAACAGAGGCTTCAAAATAGAGGGTGATCCCGGGCTGTCTGGCTCCAAAGCCTGTGCTGTCTGTCTCCACTCACCTTGGTTTGAGATTTGGCACTAACTACTAATGATAACAGCTGAGGAGATAACATTTGTAAAGTGCCTTGTGTGGTGCCTGGCACATACTTTAGAAAATGTTCCTCCCAACAGCCTCGCCCCCCCCTCGGTCACCTCCTACCCTCCTGTGGTAAGCTTAGCCTCCACCAATAATTTCTTTCACCATACTTTTAACAGGACCTAGGACAGTGATCCACCCTAAAGCACGAATTATTGCGGAAGCCGGACCAATAGTGATTGGTGAAGGTAACCTAATAGAAGAACAGGCGCTTATCATAAATGCGTGAGTAAGACTTACAGATACTCTGAACTAAGTGCCACAGGTAGTGTTTTTATTAATTTCAGCTAACGATAGGAACCTTCTCTAACTGACATCTACAAAGCCCACTGTTTTAGCTCTAGAGAAACATTAAGGATCTCTTTCAACACAAGCAATTAGAAAATGAGGAAACCAAAGACCAGATGAGTGAAGAGACTTGTCCAAGGTGAGGAAGCTCGTTGGTGGCTGACTAGACCTCCTGACTCTCAGTCTGATAATTTTCTCCTTACGTATCATTGCCTCCTCTCTTCCTTAAGCAAATGTTTCCTGAGCACCTCCAATGTTCAAGTGCTGTGCTGACCACCCTGAAGAGAGATTTTTGGTTCGATTTCTTGGTTCTGGCCAAAATGTTATTCTGCATGCTCAGACACATGAACCTTATTTAGACATATATCTTCATATGCTTTGTAGGGGTAACACCCAGAATTATATTTGAAAAATTTGGGATCCTAGAGGCAATTTTTAAACTTTAAAGATTAAAAAAGTAATAAAATATTGGAACATGTACATGATCTTAGTGAACTAGACTGTAATACCACTGAAATTTTCATAAACATTTGTAAAGCTTTCTAGATAAAATTTTGGCAGGAACTTCAAGCTTATACCTAATTTATAGCAACAATGTATGGAATTTGTAACAAAGACCTTGAGAAAATATTTAACTGATAAAGAGAATTTTTTGTCTTAATGCTTACTTAGGGATTTGGAGTTTCTTACTATATTAAGAAGTTTCTTTTTAAAATATTTTGGCACCTTTAGCGCAAGTCAATTAATAATACCTATATTCCACAGTAACTCAACTGTCGGAGATAAAGCACCATTTTAAAATGGCTTCCTCCTCTTAGACCACAAAAATTTTATGTTCCAAATATTTCAAGTAACTACTTAACAGCATAAACTAATTATTTTATGTAAATATTTGTTTACGTTTTACAATCAAATGATTATTAAGAATGGAAAATTTTCAACTCAGGCGTGATTTTGATTCCAATTTAACAAGCTGAAAGTCAGAGTCATTCTTTGCCGGTATCTTTTTTACCTTGTCCTGGAGAAGGCCCTCTGGGCTTTCAGTTTAAAAGATAAACTTATAGAAGGAAGGCTGCCCTTCTATACACACCTATGGCTTCTTTACGTTTCAGTAGTTCTTTTTCATCTCAGAATCAAGTCGTCTCCAATAATTCTCTTGGATTAAGAAATTACTTACAAAGTTACATATTTTAAGCTTGATGTAGGTAAAATTGAGAGAAAGAACTTAAATTCTAAAACAGGATAATTGCTTATTGCATTATTGACTTTTTGATGATTTCTCTCTTCTTTTTATAGGCACCCTGATAATATTACCCCTGATGCTGAAGATCCAGAACCCAAACCTATGATCATTGGCACAAATAATGTGTTTGAAGTTGGCTGTTGTATCCTTTACAATAATTTAAGATAAATCATCCCCAGCTGTCTTTTAGTACCCAACCATAGAAATTGTCATAATGTATCAAATATATATATATATATATATATATATATATATATATATATATATATATAAAATAACGTTTTTTAGAACTAGGCCATCCAGTTATTTGAAAAGACTTACTTACAGTGTATCAAAAATATTATCCCTTCTCTTCTACTGAATAACCCAAGAGTAAGGGAAGTATGCCACTTTTAGACGTGCTCTTGCACGCGCACGCACACACCCCTGTAGCTCACCATTTTGAAGGTACCATCTTGTTCATGTTGCTACAACTTGTTGACAGGTAGCAATGACTAAGTGGCAATAGACACAGAAACAGAGTAATCCTGGCTTCTGTCCTGATTTAAGAAGCACAGCTCTGTCCATTTGATTCCTGTATGGTTTTAGGTTGACAATACATTGTCTGATGCAAGGCAATGGTGTATGGGGATGAAAATATTTCATTTTTTGTTTTTTTTTCCCCAGAGTGTCACCAGTTCTTTTGCTTGATTCTGTACTCAAAAGATAGTAAAATCTTTTTATGGTATCAGCAAAACATTATTTTATAATAGAAAATACTTGGAGGAAAAAAATCTAAATGTTTAACAATAGTAAAATATTTAAGTAGAACATAAAATGGACTGTTAGGACCATTAAGCAGTCATTTAAAATTATGTTTTTAACGATGTTATCAAGTATATAATAATGCTTGCAAATTTATAGGAACAGAATATAGTGAACTGCAGATGTTTATACAGTTTAATTTTAGTTTGATTTCCAGTTATAGAAAGGGAATTATACATATTTATATAAATATATATCAAACCATTAACAGTGTTATCTTTAAGTGATTGGTGCAAATACGTCGCTCATAGAATTGGGGTATAATAAGGTGCCCATTTCTTTAAAAAACATAGAAGTCGTTTATTTATACATAGAGATATTTATATTTAAAGACTGAAACTTTACTTTCAAACTCCCCTGAGCAAAGAGTTTTTGTCCATGAACTTGCATGGCCCTTCTCATGTGCTCTGCCCCAGTGCAGGAAGGATAAGGACGTAATGAATTAGCAGAGAAAAAAGAGCAACATATTTACAGTGTTTACTTAACTCTGGCTTACAGATTCCCAAGCCATGAAAATGGGAGATAATAATGTTATTGAATCAAAAGGTAAACTATGTTTGGAGTTTTATTGTAAAAAGTGGTTACCTTCTTTCCTTCATGGTGGCTGGAATACCACCTCAGTACAGGCATACCTTGTAGTATTGTGCTTCGCTTTATTACACTTCACATATATTGCATTTTCATTAACATCAAGGCAAGACACCCCACCAGCAAAAAGACTGCAACTTGCTGAAGGCTCAGATGATGGTTAGCATTTTTTAGCAATAAAGTATTTTTTAATTAAGGTGTGTACATTGTATTTTTAGACATAATACTATTTATTGCACACTTAATAGACTATAGTGTAAACATAACTTTTATATGCACCAGGAAACCAAAAAAGTCATGTGACTTGCTTTATTGCAATATTTGCTTTATTGTGGTAGTCTGGAACGAGACCGGCAATATTTCCAAGGTATGCCTGTACAAACTATGGCAAAATGGTATGCTTAGAGGGAAGGTGTGGCTGGAAGTGGGCTAAAATGGCTGTGAGATTAATTCTTTGCCTTTAAGGAACCCAATTTGGTAATGTGTTTAATACATTAAGTTAAAAATTAAGCTACATATACTTAAATCAGGATAGAATTAAATCACAAAATTCAAGTGAAAGTTTGGAAAAAGATTTATACTAAATACTAGTGTCAATGATAATTTAGTTGATGAATGTAGAATTAAAATCAGTTTCTCTAGCAGTTTGCTTTCTTTAATTTCATGTCTACGACCCATGCCAATCGGAAACAAACGTTTCTACTTATCATAAATGAGGCCAGGTTGTGGGGGTGTCATATAAAGTCCCCACCACTATGGCGAAGCAGCTCCAAGAACTAAGGTTTGAAAAGAACCTGAACAGTGAGGCTTCTGTAGAATAATGCTTTATCTTTCTTGGTTCTGATTGGCATGAGAGAAAATGCTTCTCTTTAAATAATAAAATTTGACTTTTTGTTAATCTGCATAATGGTTTTTATTTTAATTTAGATTACCAATTACTACCATCGCCATTGTCATTTCTGTTTATTGTATCCTTAACTATGTGTTGAACCTGTGCTCAGCACTATACATTCACTATCCCATTTATTGGTGTCTCCATTTTATAGATATATCGGGTTGTCGGAAAAGTCATGATGCATTTTTGAAATGAAAAACAGAAAAAAATACGTCATGACTTTTCTGACAACCCAATACTTGCTTAAAGAATTTACAGTGATTTGCCCAAGGTCATACAACTACGTAATCAGCAGCAAAGCCGTTTTGAATACTAGTCTGGTACCTGCCTCTATGCTATACAAATTCTGAAATGAAGTATTTTCTTTAATTTTTTTCTTAAGGCCAGTTTACATTTTTATACCTAAATCATCTGAGAAAAAAATAGTTTTCTGTTCATTTGATGTCTTAAATTGTAATTCTTCCTATGTTTTTACTGCAGCTTACGTGGGCAGAAATGTAATATTGACCAGTGGCTGCATCATCGGGGCTTGTTGCAGCCTAAACACGTTTGAAGTCATCCCTGAGAATACAGTGATCTATGGGGTAGACTGTCTTCGTCGGGTGCAGACTGAGCGACCACAGGTACTAGAACCGCTCTTTAAAAAGAATTCTTTCTAGGGCTGCTAATTTTCCCCAAATACTACATAATTGTTTTAATGTGGCAGTGAGTCCACTATTTAAAAAGCAAATGATTAAAATAAAACATCAGTGAAACATTCTTAAAACTAAAGTTTATTTGCAGGGGACTTATTCAGTTTTTAAGTTAATATTAAAATTATGTACAAAGATGACAATGTCAAATTGATTATGGGAAAAGAAAATCCAGAGATATTATTCCTGGTTTATGCATTTTCACTGAAGATGCATCACCAAATCTTAAAAATATTGATTCCTCTTAAAATATCAATCTTAGAGGGTCAGGAGTGACCCTACCAAATTTACACTGGATAGCCAGTGTGGGATCATCTATTAGTTTACTAACATAACTAGCTTAAAAATAAATACATGGGCTGGCCAAGTGGCGCGTTGGTTAGGAGTTGGCTTGCTACGCCAGCTCTGAGCAGCAGGGCCCCAGTTGGGATAAATTAAAAAAAAAAAAAAAAAATCACAATGATAGCCAGTGTGGGATCATCTATTAGTTTACTAACATAACTAGCTTAAAAATAAATACATGGGCTGGCCAAGTGGCGCGTTGGTTAGGAGTTGGCTTGCTACGCCAGCTCTGAGCAGCAGGGCCCCAGTTGGGATAAATTAAAAAAAAAAAAAAAAAAAAGTCAATGATAATCACCTGTAATTCCATGACCTAGTGATAATCATTTCTGCCTGGTACTCTTAACTTTGCTTTACTGTAGGTCAGTTCTTAATTATCTTATCTTTTTAGCCCCAGACACTACAGCTGGATTTCCTGATGAAAATCCTGCCAAACTACCACCACCTAAAGAAGACGACGAAAGGAAGCTCAACTCCAGTTAAGAACTAAGAACGATATACGACATCAAGATGACATTCTGTCATGACCACTGTCTTTTTGCGGGCCACAGTGTTTATGTCCTTTTAGCAGTTCACAGAACAATACACGTTAACTTTATTTTGTAAAATTGAGTTAGAGAGGAAAATAATGGATTTTCATTGTAACTGTCCTCTATAATTTATATAAAATGTATTATTTTCCTATATTCTTGCTCCTTTTCTGATAATTTACAGATGTAGCTTTCTTTTGTTCTGTAAAATGGTGGCCACAGATTTTAGTTGTACAAAAGACTTCTCGTGATAAGAAAGGGCGTATTGTTATGTATTTATATTCTAGCACATAGTAAACTAAATAAAAATGTTGATGACAAGACTTTTAGTGAGCATACTTTAATCAATTTTTCTACTTGCATTCGCTTTCCCAAAATAGCTCTTTTAATTGCTATTATGTACTAGCTGTATTAAAGCTAACGTGTTTTCCTTTTCCTTTTGTGGATTTGTAGCTATTTAAAATTTCAGGTGAAATTTCACCAGCCATTGAATTAACATGGACTTCATTTTGTTTCCAAGAAAAATGGTTTTTTTTTATTTTTAGCAAAACAAAAATGGTCAGGGAAAGATATATTCAGTAGAATACAAAGTCAAAAAGAATGGTGTCTGATGTAAATGACAAGTAAATGACTGTTAATTAAGTGATTTTCCTGGGTTTCTGAGGACAATGAAACTAAAAGAGATTTTAATATATTTATAAATTTATGAAATTATTTTGACATTACTAATCACTAATTGCACTCATTATAATCCTATTTCTCTAATTACAAAATGGGCAAAATAGGATTTTATTGTAATTCCAAGTATTTTTAATAATTTAATGTAATATACTTTTCAATTTTGAATCAATAGATATTGATAATACTAAGATATTAAATACTAAGATATTTTATCTTGAAATTTAATTTTTAATTGTGGATAGTAAAAACTATTTTTGAATTTCAGAAACTTGATAGGTGCAAATTAGCCTAATTTTTTCAAATTTGAATGAGTTGGTTTTGGTAAGAATACTCATGATTCAAGTTGGAAAACCGTACTACTACATAGAGTGAATGGAAAAAGAACATCATATAAATACCCTAGTTTTGATAACTGGTATTTATTCATTTTTCAACTCCTGCTGATCAAGTCAGGATTTTGTTGATCATGAAAATTTTCTTAAATAAAAGATCAGCAATTACAAAACTGCCTTTGAAATACTATCCCAGTTCCAAAATATCACTAGTCAAGCTCTGATATGCTAACAAATGGCTTCTGGTCCAAACTGCACAGGTAGTGTGTAAGGGCACCTGTGAGATACCTCCCGAGGACTTGGTAATAAGATACCCCCAAGAATTAAACTAATTAAAGCAACATGTAGTGAGAAGAGCCTCAATGTTTCCCAGGTACACTGTGGTTTTTAAGTGATATTAACTCATTTGAAGAAAAAGAAAATGAACAGAAATAGTCAATTTACTAAGCAGGGTTTGGAGGACACAAAATGTGAGAGTGTATATACAGTGTTATCCACAGACGGGAGGTACTGAATCCAAAAGATGTGAGCAATTTGTGACCACAAGCGTTCTCTACTTCAGGTAGGATCAGTTTACCGACTTGCTGTGACTTGGGAAGAACATATAATATAACCTTCTTTAAACCCTTTTTTCTTAGAAATTTAGATGACTTGTCCCTAAATATATTATACATTTCATTAAGCATCAGTTTAACCTGACTATTTTACAGATGTGGAAATTGAGGCACAGAGAGGTTAAGTAACTGTCCCAGGTCAGTCAGCATTTTGGTTCCAGAGTTCATGATCTTCACCCCATTTAATGCTGCCTTTTGGAAGACTTGTTAAACCTTTTAAGATAGAGATTCCATACATCAGTGGGCTTCCTAAATGCTAGTTAGGAAAACAGCTGTGGATTTACATTGCTTAGTCTTTGCTTCTCCTAAAGTTCTTAAACTGCATGAGACAAAAAAGTAGGAAAATTGTAAAAGAATTGTTTGGTGTTCCCACTGAATTCAATAAGCGTTACCCAAAGAGGGATCCTCTGTTGAGGCTACAGGTCATTCTGTCCAAAACTTTAAACTGGTTCTACCTATTATTACTAATTGTGGTGGTGAATTGTGGTGGTGTTTTTGTTCTTGTTTTCACTTATAAAAGTAATATAATTTCATTTTAGACAATTTAAGGGAGGTGGGGAGGAAGTACTTAAGGCTTTATAATCCTCACTGTTGACCAGATGTTTTATCACAAGAGAACACCAGGAAACAAAATAGTTTTCCCCTACTGGTTAGCAAATGGGTTCTTTTGGAGAATTTTATTATCCTTAGTAATCTGACCCGTAGTAAGGCTACTTTAGACTTCAGTGTTTTATTAAACACAAACTAGGAACAGTTCCTTTCCTGCCTCCTTCAAAAAGAGATATATTTTAATATTTTAGAGCATTTACCAGTAGACCCAGTGACACTAATCGCATCCACATGTAGGCTCAGGCATTATGCCCTCCCACGGAGAAGCATCGCTGGTCCTACTGGAGACCTGGCAAAGAAAGGCTCGCTCCAGTCTTTAATTAGCATTCCTCTCAAAAGAATTTCAGCACCAACTTCATGTGAGTTTGGGTGCTAAGTCTCGGAATTTAGATTTTCATTTCTTAAATGAACTCAGCTTTCCTATGGTTCAGACCTTTGCATTGGTCTCTGTTCTCTGAAAAATATGCCTGATGCTCAAGATCCACCCAATTTTTACAACTAATAAGTAGTCTAGTCCCTGATGGGCTAATTACTTCTCTCCCTAAGTGAGCTGTATGCTTTCCAAAAGTTAGTCATTTGTTCCCAAACTTGTTTATGCAAGTTGTACTTAGTAATTACATAATGTTATTCAATATTACCAAAACCATACAAATATGAGTGTAAAGAGGGTAATCTCTATGAAAATAAGTTGAGTGCTTGTGAAAAACCAGGTAAAGACAGGATTTTATCAGGTCTTTCTCAAGGAAAAAAAAATGCTGTGGAATTAGGTGTGGGTAAAACAAATGTGAAAGTGTGGGTGGGGGAAAGGGCTGTCAAAATTTAGAATTCTGCCCTCAGTTTCTGCTCCACAGTGTCTTGAGTCCTCACCTCACTGAAACTAAAATTGACAATGTTACATGCTGTGTTAAGGGAAGTCTTGTGTGCAGCCCCAGTTAGTATATCCCCCTGAAAGAAAAGGCCTTAGCCTAATACCAAAAAAGTGTTGGATGAATGGACTTCTATATGTTTTAAATTGAAAATAAAGTTCTAAGGGTATTTATTATAATTTTGTGATTCCCTACTTTAACTGACCAACTACAGATCCTGACTACATGCAGCGGTTCTCAACCTTCCTAATGCCGCAACACCTTAATACAGTTCCTAATGTTGTGGTGACCCCCAACCATAAAATTATTTTTGTTGCTACTCTATAAGTGTAATTTTGCTACTATTATGAATCGTAATGTAAATATCTTTTTGTTTTCCGATGGCCTTAGGCGACCCCTGTGAAAGGGTCGTTCGACCCCCAAAGGGGTCGCGACCCTCAGGTTGAGAACCGCTGACGTAGAGGAAGAGAGCTTTTTACACTAGAATTTCAGGAGCTGCCAACTATAGGTATGGGGAAATGAAATGAATTGCCTGGACCTCGACACTTGCTAGTGACTTACGTATTCTTTCAAATGAATAACCTCATATTTATAAAGGTTTTACAGGTCTATTATCTTTGGGTTACATGTGCTTGATTTTTAATACAGCAGATTTTTAGAACTTAATCACTATAATGTGTCTAAGCCTATTAGATGAAAGAATGGTTTCAGGTCTTTCAGCTTATCCTGTAACTGTGTCTAAAATCTTTCCTTTTTCCTTAATGGCTAGCCAGCACAATTGTAGATATGTGATGTATATATTGCTTAAATGCTTAGAACCCAAAATGGAGGACTGTGACTCTGTTCACCCCTGTAGTAAGAGAACCTCTTCCATCATGCTCAATATATTTTTCAATTGGAAAAAGAATGACCCACACCTAATCCTGTATTATAGCCTTAACTTTATCATAATGCAAAAAGAAAAATTGGAAAGCTCTTTACTGAATTATAGATAAATTATTGAATTTTGCTTGTGCCAGATGACAGAAAATCAACTGCATTTGAGTTCTAAATATTGAAATACAAAGGGGGAACACTCGTGGTAAATTATATTTTGTAAAGTTACCTTCCTTTTTCTGCAATATATGAGGGTCCCTTTCTTATATTTCAAGCTTTGCATAAAAGAGCCACATTAGGTCAAGGCAACATCTATTACCCTGTTCCTCCTTCTCAGCAGATCCACTGATTTTGTTCAGCTGTCTGCCTAATCCAAGGTAAACCTTAATCATGCCAAGTGTTAGGACTTTCCCTGCTCCACTGGTTCACATGTAACTTAAATTTGCCTAATATACAAGCTAAAGGAAGAACTTAACGTTGGAGGAGGAGATTTTCCTTTTTCCACTGCTTGTGAATAGAGGAACATGAAGCCTATTTGCTGCTGGCAGCCACCTTACCACCATGAGGGAACGCAGCAGAATGGAAAGATAGAAGAAAATCAGGTGCTTCAAGACGTGCCTGAGCTTAACCTTAGAGCCTACCTAACTTTGAACTTGTTCAGTGAGATAGTACATTTTCTCACTGTCAGCAAGTCTGAGCTGGGTTTTCTGTTATTTACAGAAATTTTGTATCCTAAGTGATAGAAAATATCACAAGTTTCCAAGAAATTTTGTGGCAATTTTTTGGTGCTCTACTCTGTTGAGGTAGTTTGCATGTGCCTGGTCTGTCTGTTGAGCAATCCAGCACTACCAGCTGCTGCATGGATAGCAAATTGCAGAGGTACAAGGGTGTATAGATAAGGACGCCAGGTAAGAAGCTTTGTGAACAAGAGATGATGTTGGCTTTGGGATGTAGCAATAAAAATATGGACAAGTGGAAAAATTAAAGAGAGATTTATTTAGGAGGTAAAATTGATAAGATTCAGGGATGGAGTAAATATTAATAGAAGGGAGAGACAAGGTGCCAAGTCTGGCATAGGGGTTCCAGTTTTGTGTAATTAGATGGATGGTGGTCCACACGCTAAGCTCTAGAGAGCACAGGAAGAGGATAAGGTTTGATACTAAAGAACAAGAATTTGATATTGGACACACTGAGTTTGAGATGCCTTTGAGATATCCAATTTAGATTTTTCTACAGCAGCTTGAGACATATTTTATGTGGTTTTTAATACATTCACAGAGTTATACAGTCATCATTACTAACTTTTTAAAAACATTTTCATCACTCCAAAAAGAAAACCCATGTCC